TTATATATATTTTCACTGAATAAAAATAAAAGATGAAAACACGTACATTGCAGCGTCCATAATGCCGAGGCTGATCATGAATTCCCAAGCAAAGACGTTGAGACTGAAATTTTAGTTAACTTCGTTCGTTAGGTAATAGTATATTTCTTCATAATTCAAGAAATGAAATCACAAATCAACAATTGAGTTTATATTATTACCATATAGAGAATGCAGATATCGAGACCTCGGCATTTTTCATGTATCCAGCTAGTAACACCAGAATCGCATAGTACCATAATTGCAAACTATAAAAACATCGAAATCGTAAAAACACCAAAAAAAACTGATATAATGCAAATGCAAATGCAAATGTAATTGAGAGAGAGAGAGAGAGAGAGAGAGAGAGAGAGAGAGAGAGAGATTTTGAGAGATTTTACCAAACCATCACACCGGAAGATACCGAGAGCTTCACGACAGGCAAAATATCCTTAACCGCATCCAAAGAGAACCCCGTCCACGAATGGGGGCACCAGCCCCCGAAAACGTAAACAAATTCCCCACACACAACAAACCAAGAAGACAAGCACAACGCCCCCATCGCCCCGTGGACCCCACAATCCAAAACGTAAACGAAAAGCCAAGACAAAAGAACGTGGACCCCGAATTGCACAACCGACAGCCACGCAATAACCTTGTTCTTCTGCTGCGCTTGCAGGTACATTTGAATCGTCATTGTGAAAACAATACTATACAGAAACAAAATGAACCATAGAGAAATAACTCCCGTCGATTTCGCAACGGCCTCTTCTTGGCCTAGGAGGTTGAAAATCGGAGTGGCGAATATAAATACAGGGAGTAATATTGTTAAGGTTGTTAAGTCAACTATCCACGATCTTTGCAAGAAAACACCCATCATATGGTCTTGTTTTGCTCCGAAGGCTTGCCTGCAAAGCGTTTCCGTTGCACTCGACATCCCGATCTAATAAACAATTAAATTATTCAATTTGAAAAAAAAAATTGAGATATCCAAAAACCAGAACAAAATAACTTCAAACTTGAGTTTTCTGCTAAGGCCTTGTTTGGTTATCGCTGTTAAGTTCTATTGACCGATTTGAATTAACAGAAGTATGTAATTAACTACTACTATCCAATAAAATTAGTAGTTGCCTTACCGCAGGGAAATTAGATGTTACATATGGTTATTTACATTGGGTAGATTTGAACGGTAGATTTACACATAATCACACACACCCATGTGTATGTGTGTTTAGTGGGTAGTTATTTAATCAAATTTACGGTTCAAATCCACCTGATGTAAATAACCAAGTGTAGCATCTAACTCCCCCCCTATCCCATGCGAATAATTTTGTTAGTAATGACTAAATAAGAAAAAGACGACTTTGCCCCTAATTATTATAAATTAGGATATGATTATTGTTTAAAGTAGGGATATTATTGTAAAACCGCGTATAATACCAGATTTTAACAATTCTAATATTATATCTAATACAATCAACCAAACATCTTACTAACTAAATATTAATTAGTTAATTAGAAATTTATCCAATCCAGTCTAATCTGATCTAATCCGATCTAATCCGATATAAGTCAAACGAGGCATAAATATACAATAAAAAAAAAATACTTGGCAACAATACTACACTACTCGAAAAAATAATAGATTTTGTTTTTAGAAACAATGGGGGCCACGGCCCCCCACGGCTGTATACTGGCTCCGCCACTGAAAATATAAAACTATAACGAGAGTGGGATTTTATTACCACTATTCCGTTGACAAACCGAACGGATAAGGTCTGAACGAGTGCGTATCCGGCGAGATCAGTAGAACTTATATGTCCGATAAACGATTGCGTGACGATGATGGTCCCGAACGAAGAGACTCTCGAAACGACACTTGGCAATGCAACCCTCCATATTTTCTTGGATTCTTCGTAAAGTCGGGTTTTTAAATAATCCCCTCTTTGTTGTTGTTGTTCTGTTTCTGTGTTGAGCAGAGTTTGTTCTAAGCTGTTATTATTATCCATAAATCTGCGATAATTAAATGTGTGAGGACACAAATTAATCACTGCAAGAATGTAATTATTTATTTAGCTAATTAAATGAGTGATCTTGACCTAAATCAGAAAGATTGATTAGCATTTTCTTTTCAACTAATTTTTTTTAGTAAGATCAGAATTCAGAAATCAAATGCAGATGATTTTCTAAAACAATTAACTTGTACTTGGTTGACTACACACACTCTCACACACACACTGACACACAGACACACACAAACATACACACACTCACACACAGAGTGGGAAATCTGTTTGACTGTGTGTTAATTCTCAAGATTACTGATACCATATATAAACTTACAATGGAGTTTTCCGGCTTGACGATGAATTTCTAAATGTACAGGTTATGAATAACAGCAGGGGGTTGGGGTGGGGGTGGGGGGGGGGGGGGGGGGGGGATTATATTTACCCGGGGGTTCAAAAAGATACATTGACACACCTCTAGAAATGTGTTCCCTTTGATGGCGAGAACTAGAGGAACGCAACCAGCATTAAAACGATATGAAGCGGCGTGTCTAAAATCCAATTCGCCCGGCCCAGTTGATCTGAGCCA